AATTTCAATTATTTTCTAAAATTTTCCTCAATTCAATAATTTTTAATACCTACCCGAGTCGAAATTTAAGCCCTACTTTCACCCTGAATTTTCAGGGTCTATTGAGTGTTAGGAGTAGTAAAGTAGGGTCTAATTCTAATACGATTAGACCCTACTTTGACTCCCAAAATAGGCGGAAATTTGCCAATCTTCCATTTGGAGAAGCAAAGGAGGGTCTACTTCTAAGAAACCTATACCGTACTTTTAAACCTCGTAGACCCTACTTTCATACTCCTAGACCCTACATTCTAAAAGAAAATTTAGAATTATTTTTTAATGCATTACTTGAAACACTGCAAATGCAAAAAGTACTCCAAATTCATAAATACTGATGTATTTTATAGCGTCTATATACACTTCGTGTATATAGACGCTATAAAACACATAAAATTCCACTTTTACTCATCCCTAGTGCTTCAATTGAATCTGAGCAAATCTTCAAATTTTTCTTTTTCTAATTGTAGGGTCTAGGAGTATGAAAGTAGGGTCTACGAGGTTTTAAAGTACGGTATAGGTTTCTTAGAAGTAGACCCTCCTTTGCTTCTCCAAATGGAAGATTGGCAAATTTCAGCCTATTTTGGGAGTCAAAGGAGGGTCTAGTTTTTAAAAATTGTATTGAAATCAGACCCTACTTTACGACTGCTAAACCTGAATAAGCCCTACATTTTCAGAGGCTAAGTAGGGTCTAAATTTCGACTCGGGTACTATTTTAATAAAATTTTCCAAAAGAATTCAATAAATTATTTTAAAAAATTTTGATTCAATTTTAAGCAAACATTTAATTATTTACATAAGTAATAAAATTTACACAGGAATTCAATTATTTACAAATTTTTTATATAAATTACTGCGCAATAATTGAATTATTTTTATAAATAATACAATTTTTTACAGGGATTCAATTATTTTCAAAAGTAATAAAATTCTGTTTAAGAATTTAATTATTTTCTTAAATAATAAAACTCATCGCAAAATTTTTAATTTTAATTGAATTCCTTGAACAATGAAATTATTCCTAAAATTCTTGGAAAAATTTCATTGAGTTTTAAAAATTTTGACAGTAATTTTATTAACATTTTTAAAAATAATTGAATTTTGAAGAAAAGACTTTTATTACTTATATAAAGGTAATTTTAATTTTGAGAAGAATTTTTAAAAATTGCTGAACATAATTGAATTTCTGCAATCATTTGTAACTTCTCCAAAATTAAATTTTTTTTTTAGTGTTTTCAACTAAAATTCTTCTATAAATCCATCATTTTTAATAATTAATTAAATATATATTAAAAAATTTAACTACCTAATTTCAGAAGAATTTGTATTATTAAAATTTTTGAAAAGTCTAAGTTCTTTAAAATTTCTATTTAAATTCATTCAAAGTTCAAATTTTCTAATTGTAAAAATAATAAAAATTCTACAAAGAAATTTATAAACATTTTAAAGAATAATTGAATTTACATATTTTATTAAAATTGTATTAAAAATAATTGAATTCTTGCAATAAATTTTAAAATAATTGAAATGACAAGAAATTTGTAATAAAAAGTTTTTAGAATAATTGAATTTTTTCGTGAAATTTTATCGAAAAAATTTGTAATTATTGCAAAAAATTCGAAATAATTGAAATTCTGCAGATATGTATCAATATTTTTAAGAATAATTGAATTTCCATAGGTTATTAAAATTGCATTGAAAATAATTGAATTCTTTCAATAAATTTCAAAACATTTGAAATGACAAGAAATTTGTAAAAAAAAAAAAAATTTTAGAATAATTGAATTTTTTCGTGAAATTTTATCGAAAATAATTGAAATTGTTGCAAAAAATTCTAAATAATTAAAATTCTGCATATATATGTATCAACATTTTTAAGAATAATTGAATTTACATACATTGTATTAAAATTGTATGGAAAATAATTGAATTCTTGGAATGAATTTAAAAATAATTGAAATGACAAGAAATTTATAAAATAATTTTTAAAATAATTGAATTGTTTCGAGAAATTTTATTGAAAACAATTAAATTTCTAATTAAATTCATTGACAATTGAAATTTTCTAAATTTTCAAAAAACCCTTTTGAAGTTGATCTTTATACGAAAATTGTGAACACAACTCTTTTAAAATTGAATTAATTTTGAAATAATAAGGTAAAATTATTCATGAAATAATTTATAATTAATAATTTTATGATAGTTAATACAGAACCAAATTTTTATCCAGAGATAATTTTCAATTAGTAGATAAAAACAGATGATTATAGATTGTTCCACGTACGAAACTTTCAGATTGAAAAAGAGATTTTCCACGAAAAGAGATTGTGTGCATGTATAGTTAATGCAAACCAGTGTTGTGGAGCAAATGAAAAAGGCAGTAAAGAGTCAAATGAGAAAGAAGAAAAAAAAGAGATGGAGCAGAAAAAAGGCACAAAAGTTGATAAAATGAAAGAGAGTTGAGAGGAATGAGAGGAATGAAGAAGGAGGAAAGAGGAAGAGATTCGACGTAAATTAGGAGGTGGTGAAGATAATGGTTTCCGTTTCGTTTGGTGTACAAGCCCAGTGACTATATACTTGTATCCTTTTGGATTGTTGTAGTTATCTCAGAGACTTTCCATTTTATCCGAGTCAGATGAAAAACACCGAGACTGTAAACTGAGACAGAGAGGGAATGAAGAAACGAGAAATTGCAAGAGCTAGAGAGAGAGAGAAAGGAGATAAAGCTTTGAAACCGTGTTTACGGCTCCTGGCTATGTAATATTGACAAACTACCTACTAAGTCAAAGACCTTAAAGACTTTGATTCTTTGAAATACACGATCTTCATTCTGTTCTTCTCAATAAAAATATTAAAACAGAAATGACCGCATTTCAAATAAAACTTGATTGACATTCTTTTTAAAATGAGTTTTAAAATTAATTTTCAAATTATATTGATTTCCAGTCGAGGGGAAAAAGGTATTGAAGAAATAAATCTACATAGGTAATACACAATTTATAATGGAAATTTAAATTTCACTTGTGAATTATTATACCGTTTATTTCTGATGATAATAATAGTCCTGCAAATGAAATTCGTTTGGAACGCGTTTCCACGTGCAATTTAGATGAATCAAGACAAGTATAAAAATAAATTTATGAAACGAAAAATAATCGCGATAGGATTTTTTCTTTCGGAGAAATCTAATTTTTTAAACCAATTAACTAAAAATTAACTAAAACTTTTCTAACTTTACTAATTTAAATAAATACCTAATAAATAAATTTTTAAATAATATTTTAATTACAAAACGCAAGATTTTTTAAATACTGTGACTTTTCTAGAGTTATTTTAATGAAATGAGAGTTTTCGACTTTTCTTTCTCATAATAAAATACTAGTTTCTTTGTACAAAATTCTACTTAAAAAAAAGTTTTTTTGAATTTGCTCAATTTTTGAATATTTAAATTGACAAATTTTCGAATAATTAAAATATCGTCAATTTAATTGAAAACAATTGAATTTAAGACGTATTTTAAGTGAACTCTCTTTTTTTTAAATAAATAATTAAAATTCTCAAAAGACTTTCTCAAAATTAAAATTTAAAATTATTTAATTGTAAAATTTAATTAAAAATAATTCAATTTTTTGAATAAAATTTCTTCTTTTTTCAAATAAATAATTGAATTATCAAAAAAACTTTCTCAAAATAAAAATTTTCAATTATATTTAATTGAAAAATTTAATTAAAAATAAACAAATTTCAGTCATGTTTTGAATGAAATTTCTTCTTATTCAAATAAATAATTGAATTCTTAAAAAAACATTCTCCAAATTTTAATTTTCAATTATTTAAGTACAAAATTTTCAAGAACTTATTTTTTTTTAAAAATCAAATTGTTTGAAAATAAATTTAATTTTAGAATATATATATATATATTTAATTGGAAAATTTATTTAAAAATAATTAAATTTCAAACGAATTTCGAATGAAACTTCCATTTTTAAAATAAATAATTGAGATTATGAAAAAACTTTCTCAAAATTTTAATTTTCAATTACTTGAAAAATTTAATTCAAAATAATTGAATTTCTGAAGTCTTTTGAATGAAATTTCTTAATTTTTAAATAAATAATTGAATTCTCAAAAATTTTTCACAAAATTTTAATTTTCAATTATTTAAATAAAAAAATGTCAAGAACTAAGTTTTTTGAAAGATTAAAAATTTTTAGAAATAAATTTAATTTTAGAATATATGTTGAAAATTTTTTAATTTTTTAATTGAAAGATGAAGAATAATTAAAATTATACCCAAATTAATAGAAAATAATTGAATTTCAGACGTATTTCGAATGAAACTTCCATTTTTAGGAATAAATTTCTGAATTTTCATAAAACTTTCTCAAAGTTATTAAGAAAGAATTAAATTTTAAAAGTATTACAATTGCAATTTTTATAGGTAATTAATTAAATTTTGGAAGATTTGAAATTGTAATTTTTAAAAATTGAATTCCCAAATTGAAATTTACTGAAATTGAAAACTTTCCAAATCAATGAAAATTTCTTCAAATTTTATTGAAATAAATTTTTTTTTTTAGAGAAATTGATAACAATTTTTAAAAATAATTAATAATTTTTCCCCTTGATAGAAAATTTAAAATAATTGGAAATAATTGAAATTTTAACTGTTAAAACCTAAAAAAAATAAAAACATAGACAAAAATGACTATAATTTCAGGTGTGGACAGAACGAATTAATTTTTATTTTAAAAAAACAAATAATCTGAAATTAATTTTATTGCAAAAAATATTTCCATCTTCCAACTACTTTTATTGCCATAAAGCGTCTGAGTTGAATGTCAATTACTTCTACATTGGTCGATAACAAGGGCAAAGTGTAATATGCAAATTAGTCGGATAATAAAGATTTATTACATAACTTATCTGCACCAATTTCTCAATGACAATATCGCATATTGCACATTTCAGGGACAATATTAAAACTCTCCAGTTGAAATTTAACCTCCCAAAGAACCACACAAGAAAAAATGGATCTAATTCTACTAATCACCATAATCACCATTATTTTATCAATCCTTTACTATTATCTCATTAGTAATTATAAATACTGGCAAAATCAAGGTATTCCCCACGCGCAAAATATAATTCCCGGTTTTGGTAATATCCTCCCAGTGCTTTTGCAAAGACAAAGTTTTCCCGCAATGTGTGAAAAATGGTACAAAAAATACAATCACAGTATGTTCGGACTGTATCAAATGAGAACACCAACATTACTCATTCGTGATCCAGAATTAGTGAAAACAGTTTTATTAACAAATTTCTCAAATTTCGCCAACAATCAATTTGATGTAACAAATTCAAAATTCGATACAATATTTAGAATTAATCCCTTCTTCTCCAATACAGACACATGGAAAGAGAATCGTGCACCATTGACAAATGGATTTTCAAGTAAAAAATTAAAACTAATGCTTCCGTGTATTAATGATGTTGGTAAAAATCTCGAGATTTATTTGAAGCGAAAAATTGCATTGCATCATGGAAATTTTGAGCTTGAGTTAAAAAAATTTTCCAATATGTTCACCGGTGAAATTTCAGCGGCCGCAATTGGATTTCAAGGTCATAACTTTCAAGATGAAACTGAATCAACAAAGGGCCGCTGGGCTTATAAGAGGTTTATCGAAAGATTTTTCTCTGAACCATTTTTCACCGGTGGAATTCAACAGGTGATTTTTCTCTTCTTACCGCGATTGGCAAATTTTTTCCATCTCACAATGATACCCGAGTATGTCTATAAATTTTTTCACGACACCTTAAAAAATATTCTCACATATCGAAAAAATGAGAATTTACGAAGTTGTGATTTTTTGCAAATAATGGTGGACTATTTCAAGGCGAATGAAATGAGTGTTAATGACAATGAAACATTAATATCGCACGTAGTGACGTTTGCTGTCGAAATTTACGAAACGTCCGCAATTACTTTAAGTTTTTTACTATTTCAATTGGCGGCTCATCAGGAGATTCAAGAAAAGGTGAGAGTGGAAGTGAAAAAATTCGTCGAAAAATCAAACGGTAAATTGGAATATGATGATTTTAGAGAGATGACATATCTCGAACAGGTGTTAAATGAATCGATGAGATTGAATCATGTGATTGGGACTATGATGAAAGTTTGTACTAAAGAGACGCAATTAATTGGATCGGATGGTTTATCGTGTACAATGAAACCGGGCAATGTGGCGGTAATATCAACCTATGGATTGCAAATGGATCCAAATCATTGGCCTAATCCGGAGAAATTTGATCCTGATCGATTTGGTGATGAGCAAAAGGCAGGACGGCATAAATTTACATTCATTCCCTTTGGTGAAGGACCAAGAATTTGCGTTGGCATGCGATTTGCAACAATAATCATTAAAATGGTAGTGGCAATTATTCTAAAGGACTATCATATTCAAGTTTCGCCAAAGACTCCTTTACCTCTTAAAAAAAATGAAGCGAGTTTTATGACTGCTTTCGAAGAAGGACTACACGTCGTTATCAAACCTTTAAAATAAATTAAATACATACTGCGAGATCTTGATTTATAAATAAAATAAAATAAATAAAAAAAATAATTTAAATTACAATTAATTGTGTTAATTAATTTATGCTAAATGTTTATGTATCCAATAAAAAATATTATTAGGAAATAATATTAAATATTACACATTGAATATTTCACTACAAGTGGAAAATTGTTTTTTCAAATCATTCATAAAAATACTGAATCGATATTTAATTAATAATTTTCACAATTTAATATATTTCCCTGTTTGGAATTAATATTATTGGAACTCAACAGGTACTTGATTGGGTCATATATTTAATTGAACTGAAATTCTATTTCAAGCAAAAGTGAGGTAAATTTTCCTTTCGTGGCACAAAATAATAATCATTAATTCAATCATAAATCTTGCTAAAATCCACTTAAAAACAACAAAATAAATATAAATATAAACAAATAAAAAATTGAAACAAAAAAAATATTAAATTAAATATTTAAAAAAACAAGTGACCAAACCAATTTATGACAGGGCTTGAACCAGTGAAAGTATTTAAAAATACGGACTTAACGAACCAAAAATTATATTTTCAATAATTTTTGAAAAAGTTCCTTGAGAATTTTCAAATTAATTTGTTTACAATTCAATTTTACGAAATTTCGATTATTCTTTCAATATTCATTTATAATCTAAAACTTTAACTAAGATTCATATTTAAATCACTTTTTATTAGAAAATTGTATGAGAATTCAATTATTTAATTACAAAAATAAACAATTTATTCAATAATTGAATGTTTCTTAAAATTTTATACTCATCAAGAATTTTACCAACAAATTTTTAAATAATTGAATTCTTTTGACGAATTTTAATAAAATTTTTAAGAATAATTACATTTTTCGAGAAATTCTTTTACAATTGTATTAAAAATAATTTAAATTCTGCGATGAGTTTTATCATTTATGAAAATAATTGAATTCCTAAAAACAATTTTATGACTTATGAATACAATTGAAAAACTGTAAAAAAAATTCATTATTTATGGAAATAAATGAATAATTGCAAAAAAATTTTTTAAAAATTTGAAAATAATAGAATTCCTGGAAAATTTTGATTTTTATGAAAATAATTAAATGTTTGCGAATAGAAATTTTATTAAATTTTTTTTTATAATCATTGAATTCTTTTGGAAGGCTTTATTAAAATAGATACTGAAAATCATTGAATTGAGTAAAATTTTTAATAATAATTGAAATTTTGACAAAAATTTTATCAAAAGATAAATTCTTTTGGTTCTTTCTTTTGGTTCTTTCTTTTGGTTCTTTCTTTACATGTCATTCTTTATTGGAAGAATTTTATTAAAATATTTTAAAATAATTGAATTCTTTCAACGATTTTTATTAAAATTTTTTTAAATAATTGAATTCTTACAAAGAAATTTATTAATTTTTTTTAAATAACTGAATTCTAGCGAATAATTTTATAAAAATCATTTTAAATAATTGATTTTTTTCGAAAAATTTTATGAAAATTGTGTTTTAAAACAATTAAATTCCTACGTAAAAATTTTATTATTTATTTATTTGTACGTTGGTCTGTGTCCGCCGTCCTAATGGACCATTTTTATGAAATAAAAATTTATTAATTTAAATATTAATTCCTAAAAAGAATTTTATTATTTACGAAAATAATTTAATCCCTGAAAAAATGTTATATCATTTATGAAAATAATTGAATGATTACAAAGAAATTTATAAAAAATTTATAAATAATTGAACTCCTGTGAAATTTATATTTTATATTTATGAAAAAAATTAAATGTTTGCGTAGAATTTTACCAATATTTTTTGTAAATTATTGAATTTGAGCCCTGATTTATGTCATTTTTGATTAAGTAAAAAAGATGCAAAAAAAGTAAAAAAAAAATTGAATTGCATTATTAAGAGAATAATAAAACAGGAAAATAAAAAGCAAAGGAAAAAAAATTAAACAATTATAAAAGAAATACAAACTTTTTTTCAAAATAACAAGGAAAATTTGTGCAAATTAAAAAAACATACAATTTGAACAAAAATAATAAAAACAATCTGTTAATCATCTCCAGCAGTAGTTACTCCACAAAAAGATGTGTTAAGCAAATAAAATTAAATCTCTTAATCACACCGTAATGTACTGATAGCAAATTGTTTACATTTACGTATTCATAAATTGTCAAGATAACAACTCTAAATTCTCAACTTATCTCAACTTTCATTTTTTTTTCTTCAAACAAACCTCGCATATTTTATTACAAATTTTTCAAATAAAAAGATCCCCCCATTACATTGTAATTCCAGTTTTTTCATTAACCTCCATCAAGAATGGAGCCATTTTCCCTGCTAATTCTCGTGGCATTAATATTTTTAGCTCTCTATTATTTTTTAACATGGAACAGAAATTTTTGGCAAAAACAAGGCGTACCATACGCAACAGGAACAATTCCCCTCATTGGAAATATGTCCTCCGTTCTATTTTTAAAACAAAGTTTCAATAGTCTTTGCGAAAAATATTACAAGGACAATAAAAATGTCAGTATGTTCGGATTTTATCAATTCACAACGCCAACATTACTTATTCGTGATCCTGAATTAATGAAAAATATTTTACTAACAAATTTCGCCAATTTTCCTGACAACCAATTTCAAGTGACTTGCGAGAAAAAGGACTCGCTCATCTCAGTGAATCCCTTTTTCTCCAAAATGAATAAACACTGGAGAGACAGTCGAGCGCCACTCTCAAATGCATTCTCAAGCAAGAAATTAAAGGCATTGTTTGTTCTTGTACAAGATGTTGCATCAAGAATGGAGGACTACATCACAATGAAAATTCATCAGCAAAATGGTCAAGCAGAATTGGAATTTAAACAACTCTTCAATCTCTACACTGGTGAAATATCGGCAGCTGGCGTTGGAATTAGGGGCAATAATTTTGAGGACGATTTTAAAACAGAAAAAAATGAATGGAGTTACAAGAATATGCTTGAGGAAATATTTAATACACCATTCTTTGCCGGTGGACTGCTGCAAGTAATATTTGTCAACATTCCCCGTTTGGGACAAATTTTCAATATTGCCATGACTCCCAAGGGTGTTGATTCCTTCTTTCGTAATACAGTGAGAAAAATTCTCACCCAACGAAAAATTGAGAAGCAAAATTACAGCGATTTTTTGCAAATAATCAGTGACTACGTGACAGCAAATCCCTCATCAATTGACGAGGAAACATTAATAGCCTCCCATATGTTATCATACACGGCCGAAATTTACGAAACATCAGCAATCACTCTAAGTTTCACAGCATTTCAATTGGCAGTTTATCCCGAAATACAGGAGAAAGTACGTCAAGAATTACGAGTGATACTCAAGAAATACAATGGTAAATTAGAATACGAGGCATTACAGGAAATGAAATATTTCGATCAAGTTCTAAGTGAATCAATGCGTCAAAATCACGTTGTGGGAACAATGGTGAAAATTTGTCGCAAAGAAACTGAATTAATTGGTGCGGATGGAATTTCTTGTCGTCTAAAACCAGGTAATTTGGCAGTAATATCAACCTACGGTCTACAAATGGATCCAAATCATTGGCCCGATCCGGAGAAATTTGATCCCGATAGATTTAGTGATGAGCAAAAAGTGGGACGTCATAAATTTGCCTTTCTTCCCTTTGGCGAAGGACCGAGAATATGTGTTGGAATGAGAATGGCTATTATGATGATTAAAATGGCGATAGCAACAATATTAAAAGATTTTTCATTAGAAGTTTCACCAAAGACCCCATTGCCACTGGTGAGAAATGAGGCGCGTTTTTTGAGCGCTTATCATAAAGGTCTGTGGGTTATCTTAAAACCCGTAAAATCAGAATCTTGAGTGGAAGAAAGAACAGTTATACGATTACTAAAATTATGTAATTCAGATGTGTTAATAAATTATTTTTTCATTTACCTTATGTATTTATATTAGTGTAAATTTGTAAAATTAGTAATTGGTAATTAACAGAAAAAGGAAATCTTTTTTTAAGGGAAGACAGAAGTCTTTATTTTAAGTCTGCAACATTTTTAAGACAGTTATACTGATTTTTGGCTCTTTTAATTTGTTGAATTTTAGATCTTCTGATTTTAATTTAAGTAATATTTAAATAATTTAAATAATATTTTAAATAATAATTAAATATCATTTACATCATTCAGATCCATAAATATTTAATTTTTGTTCTAGTTAATCAGTCAACCAAACCTTATTTTTGAATTAAACATTATAATTTTGATTCAATAAAAAATTCGTTTAATTCAATTATAAAATATGGTTAATTCAAACATATTTTTTGGTTGGATTCTTATTTTTGGAATTAAAAAAATTTAATTTTTTTTATTTTTTATTATTTATTATAAAAATAAAATAAATAAAAAAATTTGTTTCAAAATCCTTTGGAAAAAAAAATTTTCTCAATGTAACTTTACACTACAAAAAGTAAATCTTACTTTCAGTTTACTTCTGATTAAAACCGTTGACATTAGAACCATTTTTGACTGAATTTTTGCCTTGAGAATATAATTTTAATTTCTAAAATTGACCTAATCTAGTTTCAAGCCAAAAACTAATTAAAAACCAAAATAAAATGATTTAAACTATTAACGTTATTTCAATAATTTTATTTTTAAGAGATAAACGGTTTCTGATTTTGTTTTTCCTGTGTAAATTAAGATTAATCTTACTTTCGAGACTATTAATTTCAGAATTATCTCAAAATAAGATTTAATTTTTACCCTGTACTAAAATTCATAAAATGTATAAATAACATATAAATAAAATACAATAAATAGTAATAAAATAAATAATAATAATAAATAAATAAAACATCTTTCTCATATTTAAAAAACTATATTGAAATCAATTATGTAATCTATTGAGAAATATTCCATTTATTGTACGTGAATAAAATATATTTCTTAAAATGTCTCAGTTATTACTAGCATTTTCTGCCTTTTGATTTATATATTTTTCTTTTATGTTTATATTTCAGTCAACATACTGCAAACATATTTGTATTTTACCAAGACGTTATCGGATTTTTCATTAAAAAAAATCCCAACTCGTGTATTATTTTTAGCAGCAATTAATTTTTTTTTACAAAGAGCACTTTGTTTCCTCACAATAATTATATAGTTATAAAACGTATCGTAAAAAGATTTTAAAAAATATTGTGTAAAAAATAATTAAAATTTTATTTTATTATTTATTTACGTCTCTTGATCATTCAAAACACGAAAAAAAAACATTGAAAGAGCATTAAATTTTAACGACATAACTATTAATTTAATTAATTTAAATATAATTTGTTTATCATAAATTATTATCAATAATAATTATGTAATTAACTACATAAAGTAAGCAACTAAAATTACTGACCAACATTCCTTTTATTTAATTTCCTTAAATTTTCACTTTTGTCCTTTGATTATCAATTTATAATCTAAATTTCTTTTAAGAAAACTATTAAAACTGAAAAATTACTAACACTGAACAAAAATTTATTTACTTCAAATAACCGATTACTTGTCTATTATAGAATAAATATTTACTTGAATTAAATAATTTTTATTTAAATCAATTAAATGGTATTTGAACCAATAATTTCAGTGTTTGAAGCAAATATCATTTAATTGAATCAAATACCTAATTTTTATTTGATTAAATAAATTAAATATTTACTCCAGTCAATATTTAATTGATAATAGTCAAAAAATTAGAAATAAATTAAATATTTACTCCAGTCAATATTTAATTGATAATGGTTAAAAAATTAGTTATTTGAATCAAATAAATCTTTTTTTAGTGTATTTTTTAGCTAATTCAACTCTAAATAATTTTTTTTAGAATTTTCAAAAATTTAATTGAATAAAATAATTTGTATTTACATCAAATAAAGTATCTATGTTTGAATCAACAATTTCTGTATTTAAAGTAAATAATATTTAACTTACTCTTCAGTTGTTGAATTAGTTAAAAAAAAAGTGACTAAAATGTCTCACAAATAGTTATTATTATTTGAATTTAAAGAGGAAATAATTATAAATATTTAGGTAGTATATTATTTTTTGAGCTTCACGTAAAATATTTAAAAAAAATAATAATTAAATAATAAAAATAATAACAAAATATTATCGAAAAAATGATCATCTTTTTGAGAATATTTTTGGAATACTATTAGATATTTTCATTCGTATGTGAAAATTAATTTTTATTTGAAACACTATTCACAATATTTTTTAATTTTATTTCTCCATATCATGTAAACAAAATTCAATGATAATTCAAAACAAAAAGAAAAAATGCATCGTGAATTTGAAAACTATATAGTTTCTACAGATACTTCAAGAGTTCATAAATTTTTTTTAAGTCAATGATAACTAGAACTAATCTTAAAATGCGCTTTATCACGCTTCACTACAAAAACCACTTGCAGTACATTTTGCAACTTTAGTCTGTAAATTCATTTCACCAAAGATGGATTTAATTTACCTTCTCGTTCTAGTAATTATTATATTGACATCCCTCTATGTTTATTTAACATGGAATTACGATTACTGGCAAACACAAGGCATACCCTGCGATGAAAATATTATTCCCGGTTTGGGTAACATTTCATCAATCATTTTTCTCCGTCAAAATTTAGCCAATTTGTGTGAAAAATATTACAAGAAACATAAGCACAGTATGTATGGATTTTATCAATTAACAACACCATCATTACTCGTACGAGATCCGGATTTGGCGAAAAAAATTCTATTGACAAATTTCGCAAATTTCGCCGACAATCTAGTTGAATTGAGTTCACCAAAGAAAGATGAACTTCTTCAGTACAATCCATTCTTTTCGAAACAAAAGACCTGGAAGACCAACCGAGTTGCTATTTCAAATGCATTCTCAAGTAAAAAACTCAAACTAATGTTCATCTTTATTCAAGATGTGACGGCAAAACTGGAAAAATATCTCAAAAAAATGGTTAAAGACGAAAAGGAAATTGAATTAAAACAATTTTTCAATCTTTACACCGGTGAACTTGCAACAACAGGAATTGGTGTTCAAGGTCACAATTTTCAAGACGAACAATTTTCAAGTGATAAATGGCTCACAAAAAAATCTCTCGAGGAGATTTTCGGATCACCAGCATTTGCTGGCGGTTCAATTCAAGTTATTTTCAATCACATACCAAAATTGGCGAAACTAATGGACATTTCGGTAATAAAACATAGTGTCAATAATTATTATCGCGAAGTAGTGAAAAATATTCTTGCCTACAGAAAAGAAAATAATATCGTGGGCAACGATTTTCTACAAATAATAACCGATTACGTAAGATCTCATGCGTCACACACAGACGAACAGGCGGCAATTGCATCTTATTGCTTATCGTTTACAGTTGAAGTTTACGAGACAACAGCAATGACTTTGAGTTTTACCGTATTTCAAGTAGCAGCTAACTCTCAAGTTCAAGAAAAGGCGAGAAATGAAATTCGAAGTATTCTCGAGAAACATGATGGACAATTGGACTACGAGATTCTAAAAGAATTCACATATTTGGAACAAATAATTAATGAAGGTATGCGAATGAATCATGTACTGGGAATATTGATGAAAAAATGCACAAAGGAAACGCAATTGACCGGATCGGATGGACTATCGTGTACAGTAAAACCTGGACAATCGGTTCTTATATCAACTTATGGTTTACAAATGGATCCGGATTATTGGCCAGAACCGGAGAAATTCGATCCCGAACGATTTAGGGATAATTGGAGTGAAGTAAGAAATAAATTTGCTTTCCTTCCATTTGGCGAAGGGCCGAGAATTTGTGTTGGTATGCGTATGGCAATGATAACTATGAAATTTGCACTAATAACTGTTTTAAATAATTTCTCATTGCAACTATCGCCGAAGGCTTCATTTCCCTTAGTGAGAAGTGAATCGAAATTTTTGAGTGCCTATGAAAAGGGACTTTGGGTTACCATGAAACCTCTACCACAATCATCATAAACGGAAGGAGCAATAAAATTTTAACGCATCGAGATTTATCTGATTTTGACGTTTTTGTTTTTGATGGCAATTTTTTCCGTCATTTTTTATGAGCATATTCTGCACGCAAAAAACTATAGAGTACAATATAGTGACAATATTTTGTAGCAGACATCGAATAGCCCTGGTTTAATAATCTATTTATTAAACTTTAAAATAAAATATATTTCCGTGTAACTTTTGCTAATTACAATAAGTGAAATCTAAATTTACAGAAAGTTCTGCGCATTTCTACCAACTTTTTCGTATTTTGTAGAGTAAATTTCGCTACGTTCGAAATACATTTTACTAAACTTTACTCTCTAAATCCAATTCAAATAAATTCCATTGAAGATAAGTGAAATTTAATTATGTAAAACCCTTTCAAAATTTAATTATATCTAAAAATAACATCTGCAATTCTTTCAAAAATTCAATTATTTTAGAAAATTTTTGAACAAAATTATTCAAAACTTTAATAATTTTTATAGAAAAATAATGTATTAATAACTCTTTTATAGTAAATGTTTAAATACTATTGTACTTTTACAGTCATTAAAATTTTTAAAAATTTCAATTTAAAAATTAAATTATTTGTTAAAATTCCTGTTATAACGCTTTTAATATAAATTATTTTCTAAAATTTCAACTGAATTGTTTTTAATTAATTTTTACCAGAATTCAACTACAAGAATTAAATTATTAAAGTACAAAACTTTTTGTAAAAATCAATTATTTTCCAAATTTTTAGTTAAAATTCTTCAAAAATACAATTATATTTAAAAATAATTTTTAAAAGTGAAAAATGAAATTCTTTCAAATTTAAAATTTATTTTAATAAAATTTGACAAAATTTCCCTTCATTCAATTTTTTAAAATTATTTTCGGGAATTTGCCTATTGAAAAAATTGTAATAACAATTTTTCAAAAACTTGGTTTCTTCAGGATTTCTAAATTAATTTTTTCAAATGTAAATTTTTTTTGTAAAATAAATATTAGTTTTAGCAAAAAAAAAAAATTGCCAATAAAAAAATAATAATTGTAGAAGAAATTCAAATTTGAATTCTTCCGCAGAATTCAGAGTTCTACTGACAAATTTGTGAAGTAATAAATTTTTCTAATATAAACGGTTTTATTCAAAAGGGAACTAAAAGTAAGATTTATTTTTTACAGTGTTAATTATCTAAAATTAAATTTTTAATACTAACTTATTTTTATATTTTAATTTTCAACAATAAAATTTAAGGGGTTACCCCCACTTGCAACTTTGAAAAAATCGATTTTTCTTTTATTGCATTTTTTTGAAGCATAAGTAACTGAAAGTATGTCCTGAAAATTTCAAGTCAATTCCAACAAAATTGACTGAGATATGAGCTTTGAAAGAGACGAAAGAGACTGATATATACTGATTTGTATATACATATATGCATCGATAAAATGAATATCTTTTTTTTAATTACCACCATGACTTTTCAGCCTACTTCTGGAAACCAAACTATTACGTACTCCCACTTACCGGAGTTGATTCTATGTAACTTTACAAAAAAATTATTTTCTTCGTGGAAACTGAAATTGAAACTTTAAACGCGTTTTTCTCGAAATGGCATTTCTGAAGTCGGTGACCAAGATTACTCAAACACTAATGAACCGATCTTCTTGAAATTTTGCAGGCTTATTTAATACATAAAAATGTAGTCTTTAATCGTTCGATTTTCTTTTTCGAAAAAAAATGTCCGTTTTATAGCCAAAAAACGGACGTTTTTTTTTCGTTAAAATCGAACTTTTAACTTAGACTGTCAGCCATTTTGTGAAAAATAAATATTTTTTTAAATCCTTCGATTAAAGACTAGTTTATACTCATATTTGACTAAATTTATCCACATTTTTTGATTCCGATGATTCACTTCGCCGCAATGTTGGTCACCGCAAACCGTATAAATAAAAATATTATTTCGTTGACGGCAGTTTGACACTTAACTATGTAATATTTTTTAACAAAAAAATTACTAAAAGTTCTTCAATATGTGTTCTTTAAGATGATATAGTTATAGATTAAAAAGGTTTTGTAGTTTTCTTTAAAAAAATTCATAAAAAAGGCTTATTTTTTTGCGCTACAAGTGGGGGTAACCCCTTAAATTTTCTCACGTACTTTTTTTCTATCTATGTATAAAAGATTATTGTTTCAAATTAAATAGCAAATAAAACATTGTATATACACTTTGTATATACTTTTACTTTTTGTATATATACTTTTACTTTGTATTTTAATTTTCAACAATAAAATTTAAATTTTCTCACGTACTTTTTTTCTATCTATGTATAAAAGATTATTGTTTCAAATTAAATAGCAAATAAAACATTGTATATACACTGTTTGAAGTTGAAAATGCAGAATTAATTATTTTTTCACCCACTTGTTTACCAACTGATTTTATCTCATTTAATAGATATCGAAGAAGAGAGCAATAAATTCAATTGTTGAATTGAACGATTTTAAAATCAAATCAAAATGTTTTTAAAATTCAATCATTTTTACTCGCAATCGTAAATTATTATTCTTGCAAATCGACGTGGTTAAAATTCTCAAATTATTCCCAAAAAAAAATTCGAATTTATTCTATTTCTCGCACGAAACAGTGAAAATTGAAGCAAATCTAAAATTTATGTAATGGATAAAATAGCATGAAAATTATCTTTAATGCGTCATTTGACAAAAGCTTTGAAAATTTTATGAATTGTCTTTATCAGTGTAAATCGTGTTTTATCGTTTTAAGAGCAAAGCAGCTGGGTTGAATGTCGAGAAATGATTTTAATGCATTAATGGACATTAAAAACATTTGCGACCAACGACTAATGGCAAGTTCATATAAATGCTCTCTCAGTTGGCAATGCTCCATCATTTTTAGCTTTTATATCCCATATGAGTAGACGGCACATTAAAGGCTGAGATTTTGCTTCCGCTAAGCACGAAACTGATCGGGCCATAAATTCCCTCTAAACGGAAATTCCTTTCGACTGGGATTTTCTGTCGAGTTAATTCCATATCATCACTTTCAACCTTCTTTTTGTCATTCAAAAGATCTACTCTCAAAAAAACATTGTTTAAATAAAATACTTTACGGAAAATTTTGAAAATAATCCAAAATTTAATTTAATTTACATATTTAATTATTTAATAATTTTAATTTACTAAATTATTTTAATTTCCCAAATTATATCAAAATTATATCAAATATATCAACGTATCAAAATTATATAAAAAATCAAAGTATCAAAATTATATCCTTTGGGTTGAAACAAATTTTTTTTTTGAAATCAAATTTCCCTTATACTTTGAAATGCTAATATGCTATTAACTAGAAAATGGGGAGAAAAAATTGCATAATTTATGACGTTACATATCGAGATGATATTCGTCGCATGGATGAAATTGCAACTCATATAACAGAAATACGTATATGTTTCTAAGGGGTTTATAACTTATGTATATACAACATCCGTATGTACGTTCTTAAGCAAGTAAAGTTACTGTCGAGGGTCGAGTGCAATGAAAATCGATCGACTTTATGCAAGTCAACGACGTTGAGAAAAATAAAGGAGGTGGAGAAAAACAGAAGGGTAATGCAAAAGGGGCGGAGGTGGTGGTGATGTTTGATTATTTAGGTCACAAACTAATCTGCGAATAAGAGACACTAAATTAATTTCAAGTCTCATACAAAAAAAAAACCCTGATAAATAGAGGAGAAACAAATTTAAAAATTTAAATACAGAATTATTAATCTTTCAATAATTAAAATTAAAATTCCATCAATTTTTACTATTTCCAGAGTAATTATTACTACATCAGTACATCCGAAGTAAATTTTACTAATATTATTATTATTTATAATAATAATTATTATAAATTACAGACTTCGCACTCGATAATTAATTTTAAAAAAGTATCTTTCAAACTAAAAAAAAGTAGTAAAAAAGTACCTATCAAAAAATTAAAACTGACGACCAAAAAAACTCGTTTTAGACACTTCCCAAAACTGACAAAAATTCTATTCCATATTTTTTATTTTCTTTACTTTTTCCTAATTTTCATACAAAATATTTCTTTCTTTCTCATTCTGCTAATAAATTGAATTCCTGCAACGAATTTTATTATTCATAAAATAATTTTAATATTTATAAAAATAATTTAATTCTCGAGAAGAATTTTATAAAAATATTTAAAAATTAATTTCTTTCGACTAATTTTATGCAAATTCTAATTTAAATAATTGAATTCCTGAGAAATTTTTATTATTTACGAAAATAATTGAATTCTTACGAAGATTTTTACGAAAAATTTTAAAAATAATTGAATTCTGTTTGAAAAATTTTATGAAAATCGTAAATATTGAAAATCATTGAATTGCGAAAAGTTAATAAAAATAATTAAATTTTACAAAGAATTCTATTAAAATTTTTGAGAATAATTAAATGTCTGTGTGGCACTTTATTAAATTTTTTTGAAAATAATTGAATTCCTAAAAAGCATTATATTATTTATGAAAATAATTGAATTCTTCCAAACGATTTTAAGATTTTTTAAAATAATTGAATTTCCAAGAAAAAATTAATTACATTTAAAAATAATTTAATTCTTTTGATGAATAATGTTATTTATGAAAATAATTGAATTTTGCAACGAATTTGATTAAAATGCCTCAAAAGTCAAAATAATTGAATTTTCGGGAATAATTTTGTTATTTATCGACATAATTGAATAGTTTCGAATAATTATTTATGTAAATAATTAAATTTTTGGCAAGAATTTTATTAAAATCTAAAAGAATAATTGAATTATTTCAAAAAAATTTAATTAAAATTGTATTTAAAATAATTGATTTCTTTCGAACAATTTTATTAAAATATTTGAAAATAATTGAATTTCTGTGAAAAATTCTAATATTTTTGTAAATAATTGAATTCTTCCAAAGAATTAAAAAAAAATTTTTTTTAAATAATTAATTTTCTGGAGAAATTGAAATTAAATTTCTAAGAGTAATTACATTTTTCGATCAATTTCTGTAAATTTGTATTAAAGATAATTGAAATTCTGCGATGAATGTTATTCTTTATGAAAATAATTGAATAGTTACAAAGAGTTTTATTAAAATTTTCAAAAATTCTTGAATTCCTAAGAAGAATTTCTATTTTATAATTTATGAAAATAATTGAAAAATTTTATTATTTTTGAAAATAATTGAATTTTTGTGAAAAATGTTTTTATTTTTTAAAATAATTGAATTCTTCATAGGAATTTTATAAACATTGTTTTAAATAATTAATTTTTTCGAAATAGAATAAACATTATTAAAATTTTAT